CGCGAGGAGGGCGCCGAGGGTGGCAGCTCCGGGACGGTCGCCCCAGGTTGTCCTCAGGGTCCTGCTTTGGCCACCTCACCCTGGGGCAGAGCAGGCCCCGCTCCAGCCCCAGGGTGAGGGTGAAGGTCCAAGGGGCCGTGAGCAGGAGCGGGGGCAGCCAGAACCACGGAGGTGGTTTGGGGCACCCTGTCTCGCACGCCTGCCCCCCAGCAGCCACTCCCTGCCCAGGTGGTGGACCTGCTCGTGGCCATGTGCCGGGCTGCCCTGGAGTCCCCCCGCAAGAGCATCATCTTTGAGCCTTACCCCTCCGTGGTGGACCCCAACGACCCCAAAACACTCGCCTTCAACCCCAAAGTAAGCACCGCCGGGCTGGGGGCAGTGCAGGAGGCTGGTGCTCCCGGGCTGCCCGGCGTCGGGGACCTGCAGCCCCCTCTGACGCTGCCCTCTCCGCCCCGCGAGCAGAAGAAGAACTACGAGCGGCTGCAGAAGGCCCTGGACAGCGTGATGTCCATCCGGGAAATGACCCAGGTACACGGCCCGCCCGGCCTCGCGCTCCCGCGCTCGAGGACGGGGACCCACCTGCAGCCCTCTCACCTGCACCGTGTCTCTGCCAGGGGTCCTATCTGGAGATCAAGAAGCAGATGGACAAGCTGGACCCCCTGGCGCATCCCCTCCTGCAGTGGTAAAGCTGAGGGCTGACGGGGCAGGGCAGGGGACAGGGGACACGGGCACCCCCAGCACGAGCTTCCCAAGCCATCGTGGCCACCAGACACCCAGGGCCTGACGTGACTCGTGTGGGACCCCAGCCGCCCTGCTTGACCACCCCTCTCCTCCTCTTTCCAAGGATAATCTCCAGCAACAGGTCCCACATCGTCAAGCTACCTCTCAGCAGGGTAAGTGGCCCGGCTCCCCAGCTCGGCCTCACGGCACATGGTGGCCAGCGCTCCCGGGGGGAACGTGCAGGATGCGGCACATGGGATACAGCGTGCGGGATACGGCGTGCGGGATGTGGCATGTGGGATACAGCATGCAGAATGGGGCATGTAGGTTCTCCAGCAACAGGTCCCACATCGTCAAGCTACCTCTCAGCAGGGTAAGTGGCCCGGCTCCCCAGCTCGGCCTCACGGCACATGGTGGCCAGCGCTCCCGGGGGGAACGTGCAGGATGCGGCACATGGGATACAGCGTGCGGGATACGGCGTGCGGGATGTGGCATGTGGGATACAGCATGCAGAATGGGGCATGTAGGTTGTGGCACGTGGGATACAGCATGCAGGATACAGCGTGCAGGATACAGCGTGCGGGATGCAGTGTGCAGGTTGCTGCGTGCGGGATGTGGCGCATGGGATACAGCATGCAGGATACAGTGTGC